GAAAGCTTACCGTAAGATCCTGAGTCGAACCGAACCCACGACCTTCAGAACCGCAGGCGAGCATCTAGCAGCTACACCACGAAGGCTCCCGATCGTACCAGCAGTAGTTTGATTATGTGTCCATAATGCCTTCCCTCTAAGTCAGTGGTCTCCAACCTTTTTTTTTCCAGGTCGTTCCCGCCCCCCCCCCCCCCCCTTGAAGGTATGACAAGAACCCCACACGTCCCATATCTGGGCGCGCGTCCAACAAGTGCTGTCCTAAACAAGTAGGATTGCATTCCTATTTCTCGGTTTTTGTATTGTTCAGTCAAGAAAATTTGAATATATAATTAGCTAATGTGTAATAATGTATTCAGCCATACTATATACAAAATTAGAATAGAATGCTCCTTAAGCTAGGTTGTCCTATACATATTACTGATCGTATATTACACAAAGTGGCATTCTAGAATATGATGTGTATGTACTAGGGCTGTACCGAATATTCGCTTCGTATTCGCTTCGGGGCCGAATAGTGGACCTATTGACTTTTCGGTATTCGGCCGAATAGTTGCGGTCGGGCCGAATACGAATAGTAGTTACCTTACACCCGCTTCTGCATACACGGCCTTTATACTGACAACATGGAACGATTGGTTTTATTGAAAGCTAATGCAGCTTTCATGCATTAACTAAGCTGTCAGTGACATTTTCTAAGTTTAGTTACTTGTTATAATACTTAGGATTTTTTCATTTCTAGTTGTTAGTTACCACAGATTGACTGAAGGATGCAAAACATAAAATGTTTTTAAATGTTCACTATTCTGTACGAATACTAACTAGACATGGAAAGAATTTAAACTCCGGCCACATCCAAATCGATAACATGAAAATCAAACGAAAAGAAACATTTAAGTACTTGGGTGCAAACTTCAACTGCTCCAACATGCTGAAAGAAAGAAGAAATACAATCTAGAATACAATCTAGAAATAAAGTATACTATGCCCTTCAACATCTGCTAAAGTCAAAGTGCTGTCTCGCAACACAAGGATCAACATATATAAAACGTCGATAAGACCAGTCGTTTTATATAGCTATGAAACTTGAAGCAGAAATAAAAGAGATAAGGCCTTATTACGGGTTTCCGAAAACAGTCTTACGACAAATCTTTGGACCCATCAAAAATGCTAACAGCGGGAATGGAGAGTGAGAAGCAACAACGTAACACATAATCTGTTTAAATCACCATTGATCACTGGCATCATGAGAGCTGAAAGACTAAAATGGTTGGGGCATATTGAAAAAATGTCAGATGACAGCGAAGTAAAACTGTATACACCAGGGAGAGGAATGGGCGTAGACCACGAGGCAGACAAAAAAGAAGTTCGAGAGATAATGTCCAGCCAGACCTGCAAACAACTGGTGTCACAAATTGTAAAGATCAGGCCAGCCAGAGAGATGAATGGAGACGAGTGATAATCTGCAGCAATAAACCTCAAGGGCTCAGAATGCTAAACAAGAAGATGTCTAATTTGTGCTATTTTATTTGAAGTAAAATTTCAGCATACATTTGACATTATGAATGTGTGCATTTTTTTTAGATATATTTTATAGACTATACACTATTCGTATTCGGCCGAATAGTTGGTCCCGTTATTCGTATTCGGCCGAATAGTGAAAATCACTTTCGGTACAGCCCTAGTATGTATACGTATGCTGATTGTGCAGATCACATACATGCAATTTTTAACGTGATACCACACACCGAGGTCCCTACAGGGCCACTGAGAGGATTAATAAGCCCTGGAACAAGATTAATAGCCCCCCCCCCCTCTTTTTTTTGGGGGGGGGGGGGTTTCTCCCTACCTTCACATGGACACATAAATCAATAATGTTATAATTGTGCATTTAATAATGATGCATTCGAGCACTTGCAGTAAATTAAAACAAGAGGATAGATACTTCGGTAAAAGATAATAAAAGCAATAATATACATTAGTATATAAGCAATTGTGAAACAGTGTACATGCGCAAGGAATTTAATATTAGATAAATCAAAAGCTCAAGACAGTTTTTGTAGTCGAGATGTAATGGCATTTGTTTTCTGCTAAACAAAGTTTATAAAAGGAGTAGAAAATTATAGGGAAGAGAAAAGGTTAGTAAGAAAAACAACAGATAGTTAATGTTAGCTTTACAAAATCGATCACAATAAACAAAGGACTTTGCGGCGATTAGCCTTCATCAGCACATAAAGGACAACACATCACACATACACAAATATGCTCTAACTATGAAGTGACTACATAGGACTCTAATGTTTAAAATAAATGATACTCATCTGTGTCCCTGGCGAAAAAAAAACTTTTACAATGAAATGACGGTCAGCCTATATATCTCCAACGCACAGGTGGGCGCGAAAAAAGGGGCGGATTAGACGCCAACAGCTTACACTGAGTGTCTAAGGAGGGAGGGAGGGGTTGGCCTATAGGGCGTAACCAGGGTGGGGATGACATTAGTCCATCCGCATGGAATAAAAGTGGTGCCTGTGCTTGCAAACAAATATCAGCAGACAGACAGACAGACAGACAGACAGACAGACAGACAGACAGACTGGCAGGCAGGCAGGCAGGCAGGCAGGCAGGCAGACAGACAGACAGAAAGATAGATAGATAGATAGATAGATAGATAGATAGATAGATAGATAGATAGATAGATAGATAGATAGATAGATAGATAGATAGATAGATAGATAGATAGATAGATAGATAGATAGATGGATGGATAGGTAGGTAGGTAGATTAGATCGTGGATGGTGGGGTTAATGGATGTGTGGGTAGCACAATTGATGCGCGGGTAGACAAATAGACGTAATGATGATTATACTCGTGGATGTATGGATCGGCTGATATATGAAATCAGCTAAAGACAAGGGTCACAAGACACGATACTTCTCACTTACTGTCAGCTATAAAGTAGAGACAGTAAGGGTGATTGTTATACAAAGTATCAGTCGAACCGAGCGCAGAACTGGTTAAAAAACAGAATGTAAGGGAGCCATGGAAAAATAGCTAGGGTGGATGGTAAGGTGAGTGGACGAGTAGGTGGTGATATAGATGGGCGGGTAGATGAGTGGATGGGTAAAGGATGGCTATATTGGTGGATGAATGGAATTGCTAATATATAGAATCGGCTAAAAATAGGGATCTCGCACGTGGTTTTGCTATACACATAAAGTACAGAATCAACTAGTCAGTCAGGTGACAGCTGGCTGCAATTGATCTCCAACACACGATCTTCATTCTTCCTCCCACTTATAATGTTGTATACCTCTTGTCTTTATCCAAGAGGTATTTTTATTTTAAAATTATGGTTTTGCAAAATTGTTTCCCCTTTACGGGCTCCATTTGAACTCCATGGACTCTGAAATAATATACCGACTGAGACGCTACGTGTTAGAGAACACGAACACACAACAAGAAGGTGAGAAACGACGTTCAATGGAGGGAGTATTCTCTGTACTAATTGGACTAAGGCGGAACCAATCATTTAGGTGTCGTCTGCATAATGAAAGTTGACTGCAATGGATCTTTAACATGGCTGTACACTCTCTAAGACTGTTATTTGTATATTCCATGATATCTTACTACTTTTAACGCTGTCTACCTTTAACTGCCATCCGAAATTTAGTTTTTATAAGAATAAATGCATCGGTGCGAAATGACCTGCTTGTTGTGTAAGATGGAAGTGGATGCCAAAAAATTTGGGTACCTCCGGATAAAAATTTGACATCACATCATTCAGGACCAGGGCTGCTAATGATGGGTCTTTATTTCCCCCCCCCCCCCAGATCTGGGTTTTTATTTAACGTCTTGGGTTTAAATTTTGAAATCTGATTTTTTAAAAACATATCCTTATATAAAAGTGGGTAAATGATTTGTTCCGCTTATGTATTGCTTGGGTTTTTGTTCAGCTTAGCTGGATGTCCAAAAAAAATCCCATTGGCAACCCTGTTCAGGACAAGCCCACATCAGGTCTGTGTCCCTGCTCAACTGCCAGCGAAGAGTCTCAACACTGATGGGTAGCCCTTGTCATCTGATTGTTACTCGTGTAGCCTTTCCCCCGAGTTTCTAGTGACTTCTAGAGCCCGCATACACTCCCTCACAGCATTATGATCCTCTATAGGTTTTGGATATCTTCCATTTTAAGT